GAACTTATGACAGTACCATACTGCTCCTTTAAAAAATCAATAATAACTCTATTTTTATACCCTTGATGAAAGTAATCTTCTATAATCCTTCGCAGATCGCTTTCGTCCATAACCAAAACGGAGTTCCAGTTCATGCTGTTTTGGCGGGAAACTAAGAACTATTACCCAGTCTTCCTTGGCGTTGCGTTCCAATTTTTTTTGTTTGCGTTTTCTTTTTTTTTTGCTGTAGTACTTTTTGTTTGCGTTGCATTTTTTATTTGCCTCGGCACTTTTTTCTTTGCGTTTTGATTTTTTTTATTTGCTGCAGTATATTTTTTATTTGCCCTAGTATATTTTTTATTTGCTGCAGTGTATTTTTTGTTTGCGTTGAGCCTTCTGGGCCACCGTATAAAACAGCAGTCGGCTACATAAACAGATTGTATGGGCTTCCTGTGGTACAGTAGGGGTCATGAAAGAAACACGAATCGTTTGTCTTGTTTCAAAATCACGAGATTTCAATCAATTTTTTATGAATTTAACAAAACCGAAACATAATCTTAGGTCGGTAACCTTAATAACAATATTTGAACACGGAAATTAAAAAAAAAGGTGAATTCCACTAGTAGAAAGTGCGATTTATGGTTTTTTTTTAAGTAAATTCCAATATTCTTTTTATCTTTAACCCTTCTACCCTAACATCTCATCGGACACATCCCTTTAGGGTTATCTAAAATTGCTTCTTCTATTTTAATACGAGAAGACCACGGTGGAGTTGCAGTTATATGTGGTAAGCGAGTAAACAGAGGGGCTGGCTGTTGCTAAAAATCAGAGAGAACCGGGGGATGATGCATTCGTGCAATATTTGACAGTAGTTGTAACGAGAGTTAAACCATTAAAATGTTCGATTGGGATCACACAAAGTGTTCGTAGTTCCGTAATAGTGAGAGTCCGTAATAGTGAGAGTCCGTAATAGTGGGAGCTACGTTCAGTCATTTCTTCGTATTTTCGGTCGGGGATATCGTTGAAGTTGAAGTTTATTTATTTGTTTAAGCAGGTTGATTAATTGGCAGCTGTAATAGCTGATGTAGACCTGCTGTCCTATCCCACCCATCCCACCCCAGGGGAGGACATCCATCACACAGTAATCTCGTGTGTGGGAAATTAACGTCTCCTGCCCCAACCCTGCAGGAGACGGGACCTCCATTTATTCGTCCCTATCAGAGAAGACTAGAATATCTAACCATTTCTTGATGTTATAGAAAGGTAGCAAATTCTTCTCAATTATTTTAAGACCTTGAGTGTTGGTCCGGCCGGGGCTCGAACCCTCGACCTCCCGCACTACAGTCCAGCGCTCTATCCATTGAGCTAACCGGGAGGCGGTTAAAAATTTNTGAAGCCCTTTTTAGGCATAAAAAGTGTTAAAGGAATTTTTTGTCAGTGTTGAAAAGTGGACCATTTAGTGTTTTTGTTCATCTCATTATAGCTGATTGAGAGCATAGAAAATCTTGAGGACATGAAAGGACACTCTGTCCGTGAGTGGGTGTCTATGCAGGCTCCACGGCTTGAGATCAAGAACAGATTTAAACAGTTTCTGCGTTCCTTTGTTGATGACCAAGGAAAAAGTGTCTACAGAGAGAAAATTTCTCAGATGTGCGAAGGTAATCTTGATCAATCCTTTCAGTCCATTTATGCTGAAGAAAAATTTAAGGCATTGTAAGTGCAATGAATACTTTTTGTTCTCTTTTATAACCAAGATCAAAATGCATATTCTCCATTATGTTCTCTATACATTTTGGATGGTAATGGTATTGAGAGTTTGTTTTAAAATCAAGAGCTTTTTTAGTAGGGGATCATTTTCCATATTCTCATTACCTTGTTTGACTAAGAGGTGTTAGTCTAAGGAGAAATTAAATCAGTCACTCACAGGCCTTAAAGACCATTTCTAGGTCAAGATACTTTCTCCCTGTGCAGAAATTGGTGAAAATTAACTTGTTAGAAAATCATGGAAATTGTAAATGATCAGTAGTATACACTGTACATGTAATGCTTTTCCAGGGCTGATATTATCCAAGGAAACATAGCATTATTGTGTTGGTTTTATTCATGTATTTTTTTTTTTATGTGTGTGTAGCAAATAGACAAAGTCTTGTAATTGATTACAACATTCTGGCCAATGAGCAGCAAGTTCTGGCATACTTTCTTCCTGAAGCTCCATCTGAAGTCCTGCAAATCTTTGACGAGGTAAAAAAAAAAGATGTCCTCATGAATGTTTTGTTTGTTTGAATTTCAGATCAAAATGATTTTCAACTAGGTAGACTTGAACTTTTCTCAGTTTCAGATATATATTGCAGTTACTGGTAATGATCTTTGACCCTTTCACTCCCTAGATCTCTGTAGTAATTCTCCTAACTGTTGGCCATATAATTCTTATGAACTCAGCTTAGAGAATTTGGTATTGAATCCACTAACAGGGTTTTATTAGAAGCCGGGCCCCAGGTATCGGCACCGATCTGCTTAAAACAGAGTACCCGCCTACTTCAAGTATGAAATAAAAAAAATCGTCCAGGAAAAAATTATCCACCTCAACTAAATATTTACTCTTATTTGTAACTTTGAAACCTATTTTTTGCACTTATTTATCAATTACTTGCCACCAGCTTGTGAAAATAAAATGTACTTTGAGAGACCTTGGATCCCCCTAGAGGTTTAGGCCTTATTCAGCCCTCAATTTTATTAAGGTACCTGCCTACTCACAAGGCAGCACCCTTATATTCCAAAAGTGAATGAAAACCCTGACTAGTTATCTGATGTTTTTCTCTATTCTCGTCACTTGTCTGCTTGATTTTCTATTGATATTGTAAGGAGAAGTTCTGTTTTGGTCACTCATAGGAGTTTAAAGGTTATAAACGGAGATAGTATAGCTACCACTCATTTTCTGGCAAATTACTTCAGATAATTTTAAGTTACATTATTCAATCTCAAGCAAATAAGTTAGTCATGGTCCAGTCTCAAAACATTTTTAGTTTGTGCTAATTTAAGCGGGGTGTGGTAATTATTTTAAGGTTGAATTTTTTTAGGGTGCAAAAGAAGTGGTTCTTGCCATGTTTCCAAACTATGACCGTATCACAAGTGACATTCACGTGAGGATATCTGATCTTCCTCTGATGGAGGAACTTCGATCTTTAAGGTATCACCGACTGTTCTTTAATTGTTGTTATTGTTTGACTCTTTCATTCCCAAGATCTTATTAGT